GAGAGAGAGAGAGAGACTAGTATAGATGAGAGGGGAGGCGTGGCTTGGCCATGGCAAGGAGGGGGTTGGCCTTGGGCATTGTCAAGCCATAAACCTCATTAACATCTATGTCTTTCTCGCTCATTCCCTTTGGTGGATACCAATTAAATGCATGGAAGAGGCGTGCTAGTCCAAGCAACACAAAGCACAACCCCAGAGGAGCACCAGGACATTTCCTTTTCCCTGCACTAAAAGGAAGGATTTTGAAATCAGCACCATGGCTGATCTCAATTCTACCCCCATCCACTGTCATGTGCCTCTCAGGATAGAATTCATCAACATTGTCCCAAATTTTAGGGTTCCTCCCCAGTGCATAAGCGTTGATGAAAATCCTGGTCTTCTCTGGTACATCAAATCCTGCTAACTTGGTTGGCCTAAGGGACTCATGAGGGATCAGGAAAGGGCCGGCCGGGTGCATCCGGAAAGTTTCTCTCACTATGCAGCGCAAGAATTGGAGGTGATTTAAGTCGGATTCGACAACCATTCGATCTTTCCCGACGACTGTATCGAGCTCATCCTGCAACTTCTTCAATATCCTTGGATTCCTTATCACCTCTGCCATAGCCCACTCGTTGGTCACCAAAGATGTGTCCGTTGCCGCCGCGATCATATCCTAGGAAGAAAATTAGATATATTCAAATTAAGCAAAAACTTAAATTAAATATTTGAATCGGATCGTCTCCGAACATGATTCCTTTCTTCTAAAACAGCGACATAGAGATGGTAATAACATTAGAGATGCACTTATCTTCTATAGAGCAAGCAAACCTGAACAAGAGCTTTAATCTCAATGTCCTCCATGTGCTCCTTCCCATCTTCACCAGGCAAAGATAGCAATATGTCCACAAAATCCATTGTTTCATCCTTGCTCCCTTCCTTTACCACCTTGGTCCTCCTCCTATGCTCCTCTAAGATCCTCACATGAAATGCATCCATTCTCTTTTCAACATCTCTCATCTTCTCTTCACATCTATATGGGTCTAACCATCTCCAAAATGGCAAGTAGTCCCCTAGATAAATTACACCCATCAACCAAAATAGCTCATGTGTGGTATCCATGAACTGCGCCGCCTCGTCCGGTCCGGCTGACCCTGCCCCGAAATACTGCTTCCCGAGGATCATCCGGGTCACGTTGTTCATCGAAAATGCTCCCAAAACCTCCCTCAAGTTGATGGTTTTCCCATGCATGGCATCTCTGTACACAGAGCTGACCATAAATTGAGCTTCTTGCCTCCTTTGCTCTTGAAAAGACTCCAATCTCTTGGTGCTCAAGAGATGCTCCATGCATATCCTTCTCATGTGTTTCCAATGCTTCCCAAATGGTGCTAGGGCCACATCTCCACTGTTGTAGGCTAAGTGTATAGCAGCTAGTGTCTTTGGTCTAGAGGCAAATGCATCATCTTGTTTGAGGAGAATTTCTTTGATGATTTCAGGGTCATTTGTTGTGATTGAATCCACATTGCCTAGTCTCAAGTAGACCAAGGGTCCATACTTTGAGCAAAAGGAAGCAAAGTCCTTGTGAGGTAAGGGACCAAGTTGTAGGAGGTTCCCTACAATGGGCCACCTAGGAGGGCCTGGGGGTAGCCTTATCTTCACTTTTGAGCTTTGAAGGATCCTCAAGGCTAAGATCATGGAGGCCAAGGTGATGGACAATATGGTCATGGTCAATATGCTCAAATCCATGGCTCCTTATGTTGAAAACTAAGGCCAATCTAAAGGGTCTCTGTGTTTTCAGGAGCGCGCACTCACGAAAGTCTATAAAATGAAGTCTAAATGCTCATGATCTCCATTGTGAAGTGATCTTAAACAAGGCTCTCTTTGTTTCTCTCTTGGTGCAAAGGTCTAGGAATTGAAGACTAATTACTAATGATCTCCACTGTGTGATGTTTAACAAGGTCATAGGATGAAATTAAGACTAATTCCTCAAAAGCATGGTTTCTAGTGCTGAAAACTAAGGGAAATAAAAAAGCTCTCTCTCTCTCTCTCTCTCTCTCTGTGCAAGAGTCTATGAAATGAAAACTAGTCGCAGTGATGTTCAGCAAGGTCATAGGACTGTGTGTGTGTGAGTCTATGCAATAGTCTATGAAATAAAGACTAATTACTCATGATCTCCATTATGAGGTGATATTCAAAGAGGTCATAATTCATAAATACGAACCTATTTACCATGTCATCATTGTAACCAATGCCTCCTACTTCACAATCACCACCTCTATATTTGGTCTTCCTCCCTTTATAAGGAAGCGTTGGCCTTCAAAGAAGGATGGTTTTGCAACTAGTATACATGTAATCCATTTTAAAGCAGATAATTCCTCGTTCACCTATTCATTTGGAGGTTAAGAGTAGTTAGCACATCCTTTTCCCTTTTTGTCGATGTTTGTGATTATCATACTTTGTGCATGAAATTCTTGAAAACACTTTCTTTGTGTGCAACCGGAAAATTAGAAGGCCAAAATCAATGGGAAAAAGTAGGCTAATTTAGTGCTTTTTTTTGGGAAAATTGTTTGCACTGCATTTCTACATTATGCGGTCCAGAGGTATAAAGCATCCATCTTAAAGATGGATGCAAACAGGTGGCCCAACTAACGGTTCAAATGCTTTTTAATATAATTATTATTTTTAGTTTTTAATCTTTTTTCTTCATATTCATAATCTCTATATTAAAGATTATATATTCTCTAAAAATTAAGATTAAATTATATTTAAAATAATATTTATTGCCAAGCTCGTAATTCATATAAACCCTGTCCATTTTTTTTTTTTTTTGGGTAAATTGGCTAAGTTAGTGTGGGGGGGGGGGGGGAATGACCGATAATGGCTTTGTACCCTACACCTACTTTACACCTACTTCATTAATGCAAGCTTTGTACCCTACACCTGATTTACACCTACTTCATTAATGCACTTCATTAATGCATTTTTCAATTACGCGAACGTGGTTCAAATCAATGTTCGCTGCATTTTTCAATTACGAGAAAACCGAGGTTCAAATCAATGTTCGCAAAATCGAATCGAAACGGTTAACTAGACATGGTCCCATAAGCTGTTTAATCGGCCTAACCGGTAAAATGGCCGATTCAACCGTTCTAACAGGGTAAGTTTCGGACAGTCAAAAAATTGGTGAAAAATAAAAAAGATACAAAAAAAAAAAATCTACTAAAATATGAAAAGTATATAAAAAATTATTAAAATAAAACACATTCAAATGAAGTTGAAAATTAATGAAAAAAATATTTTAATGAATTGATTTTTGAATTAAAGTGAATATTAATGACAAAAATAATTTTAATATTTACCATAATATAAATAATATTAAAAAATGCATTACAAACCAAATTCTTTACTCTTGAGAATTTATATAAATTTTTTGAAAAAAAATTTAAATACTAGTCGATCACCAAAACCGCCCAAAACCGAAACCGGCCGATCTAACTTGGTGGTTAGTGATTAAATTTCCCGATTTTTTTAACAATGGTTCAAATCAATGTTTTAAAAAACGACGAGTCGAACCGGACTCGCCCGGGTTCAACTCGGGAACCGGCACAGCCCGTGCCGGTTCCAACCAAAAATTGGGAACCGTTGGTTCCCATCCGGTTCTATCCGATTCAGCCCGGTTCATACTCACACACGCACACGCACACATGTGTCCAAGCGCACGTGTGAGGGTGCCCCACGTACACTCACACATGTACACATGTGCCCAAACGCACCTGTGAGGTTGCCTTGGTATTTTTGCACACATATTATAGTTCATATTGCATAAGTATTTATATACCAAAGTTAAATACCCATCTTTCAATGTGGGATAATTCCCAAACATCATTAAATGAAAACGAAATGTAAATATAGTCTATTAATCAGCAATTTATAATTACATGTAGTTAGATGGCTTGGTGGTTATAATTTTGGTTTTTTTACTTGAGGTCCCAAGGTCGAATTCCCTTGGGCATGTGTTGCATTAGAATCCCCTTGGGCATGTGTTGTATTTTTGTTGTGTATATAGTAGTTGATATAAATATAAATATTTTTGTTGTATTCGAATCCCCTTAGGTCTATGTTGCATTTTTGTTGTATATATAGTGGTTAGTATAAATATAAATATTTTTGTTGTGTATATAGTGGTTGGTATAAATATAAATATTTTTGTAAATAATATAAAAGACATAAAAAAATGAAAAATAAAAAAATTAATTTTTTATATAACAGTTAATTTTTGTTGTATATAGTGGTATAATTATTTTTGCAAATAATATGAAAGGAATAAAAAAATTAAAAATAAAAAGTTTATTCTATTTGAAATCTCCATCTTTCTACTAACAATCACTTTTACTAAATTTATTATAGAAACCTAAAAAAATAAATTTTTAAAAAATTGAAGTGTTATTTCCAAAATTTGTACTCATTTTATTAATTTTAACATTGATAACCAAATCTTTTATTTTATTTATGAATTTTTACATTATAAATCATGTAATGTACTATTTTTCTTACAGTTGTCAATAATACATTTTAAATTAGATTATATTATAAAATATTTTTAATTTGTTATTATTTGTCTAATAAAATAATTATAAAATGTAAACTAATAATTATAATTTCAGTATATAATATTATAATTAGTGATGTTGTAATAATTTTGGATTATAGTTAGTTAGGCTGTAATAGTTTGGGTTTTTTTAGCAGATTAGGGTTTTTCGCCAAAACGAGATTTTAATGGCCATTCTTTCATTGATTAGTCTACTCTTTATAATAGTCCATATATAATTATATATTTTATCCATGATAATTTTATGATTTTCTTTTATGTGATGCAAATTTAATAGTTAAAATAAGTTTATACGGGGAAAGAGCATCTCAATATTCACAAATTAATAAAAAAAATGAAAGTTAATAATGTAGTGCCCTCATTTTTATTGGATTCCTAAAAAAAAATTTATAATGAATTTTAATAATTTTTTCGGATTTTTTTGAAGCTTTAATCTGACCGATTCAGCCGATTCCCGATCCGAATCGCCGATTCACCGATCCGAATCAGTTTTTGAGGTGCCCGATCCTGGTCACCGATCCGCTTTTTAAACCATTGGTTCAAATAATAGTACTTGGGGCTGTTCTATTTCCATTGTCAGCATTACTAGCCATTGTTTCACTTTAATACCTAATTTATTAGTACATTTTCCAACAATGACAAGACAGACCATAGTTAAATCATAGTTATCATGATCGGACCAAATTGGTAGTCCGACTGACTGGGTGGATTTCCTAGTAGGGCCTTGATCAATCGTATCCAAAGTAAAAATTAGGTTTGATTGGAAAACAGTCAAAATTGATGTTTGACCAGCTTTAGTTAGTCAAAACTAAATGATGTAACTGGTTCAACTATCTAAATGAAGTTGAAATTTTTTAATATATTTTATATTTTTTTAAATATTTTTTTTTTTTTCCCCAAAAATCTTGTCCAACTAGTCTGATTAGTGATTTAAACCAATTTTGATTGGACCAAATCCTTTATTGGTTTAATGGCCTATTCAATTTTGATAAAAAAAAAAAATTGAAATAATGAACAATTGGAGCTATTTAGTATTATTTTTTGAATTCTAAAATTTCATAATTAAAGTTGGACATGATTTTTCAAGTCATTTTGACACCAAAACTGTACGTGTTTTTTCTTAAAATTCAGATACACGCCTTTACTTGTATAGTATAAGGTGGGCAAGGTGGGAACCCTGTCCAAACCTCACCCACTTAGTTATGATCATGATCCAGATCAAATCTCACCAATCTTAAAACATTGGGAATTCACCCAAAAGTGGTTTCGAAGTATAGTTTTTCCTTTGGGAAGTTCCTTCCTACCATGTTTACCTGAGCAAAGGATATTGTTTTCGAAATTGTCCCTTCACGGCTTTGTCCCTTTCTTAGGCTCATGTCCCTTGCGTGAGATAAGGTGACATCCATTGATAAAGAACCAGTGGACTAAAACTAATGAAATTTAATCCTTTTTTCCTACTATTTGTTTATTTACTAGAAATTTGTAAGTTGTTCCCTTTATGTTTATACAGCTCAATTTCCCCTTGCCATATCCACTAAACCCACTTCAACAAGATCTCCAAATTACAACAAAGAGGAATCATAGCAGGTGGCCTCATTGATCTCTTGTTCCTCCCAGCGATCACTTTGGTTTATTTTCTTAGTATTTTTAACTTTTTGGGATGGTTATTTTTTAATATTAGGACTGGTTTTGCGTTAGAATTGATGTGTTTATGCTCTATACAAGTATAATTTGTAAGATAAGCCACTAGGCCAAAGCAGTTCTTCCTTGCTCTTTCGGTCATTTGAGTTCTGTTTTATGATAAAAACTTGAAAAGAAGAGTTCCTAGTGCCATATTAATGCCGATTATTTCAGGAATTAGACGGAAAATATGTAAATCTCCAGCAATTATAACCCTGTTCTTATAGTTTTATGTTTCAAAGTTGGAGAAGGGACTATAAGTTTATGATTTTGGCATGATATTAAAGGTTTCTTCGCAACCCATTTTGAATCTAAATTCAACCAAAACAGAAATTTACGAGGCGATAAAATGCAATGAAATTATTATAGTACATATGAGATGCAGGGTTATGATTGGATGAAAACGGAGCCGACAAGCACGGTTGAATGTCTCAGGCATGCAAATTTGGCTATCACTTGGCCTGCAAATACCACCTTGTTGGAGAAACAAATTGTGAAAAGAAAAATCCAGTGAGGTTATCAGCCAAATCGTGTATCGGCCAGAACAAAAAGGTTGGTGCTTCCACTATAACAGCACAAATTATAGCCAAAATACTTAAGATTAGCCCTTCTCCTAATGTGATCATATACACCAAATTCATCAAAAAGCTTGGGAGATTAGGTTATGTAGATGAAGCCTATGAGCTTTTTATCTTCATGAAACTCTACCAGTGTAAGCCTGATGTGATATCTTTCACCATATTAATTCAAGCATTATGCAGCTCTAATAGGCTAAATAAGGCAAGGGGCCTTCTCCATGAAATGCCAACATATAGTTGCAAGCCAGATTGTGTTTTGTACAATATACTTATGGACATGTATGCAAGGAGTGGGAATGAAGAGATGGTGTGGCAACTGTGGAAGGAGATGGAGGAGAAAGAAATTGAGAGAGATGTGGTTTCATACTCATCCTTGGTGAAATCTCTGTGTGTCTCCGATAAAATCGAAGAAGCAATCCAAATCATCAGAATGATGGAGGCCAGAGGTACGGTCTTGCCGAATACGTACACATATAATACAGTGATTGGTGCATGGGTGGACCTCGGTCGCGTGGATGAAGGGCTGAGATTGTTTGAGAGAATGGAGAGTCTAGATTGCAAGCCTGATTTTTGCAGCTACAACATAATCATTAACCACTATAGCAAGTTAGGGGAAGGCATGAGGGCATGTGAGCTGTTTAAAAAGATGAAGGGAAATGGGATTCAACCCAATGAGAACACTTACAAGGCTTGCATCATGGGACTTATAAGGGAAGGCAAATCCATAGAACTACTAAATTTGATTCAAGAAATTAAGCATTCATGTGTTTCTATGAGTGTTTCTACTTGGAATAAGGTGTTATATAGGCTTGGAAAGATGGGTAAATTAAGTGATGCATATGCCCTGTTTCTAAAAATGAAAAATCCTGATGAGATCACCATGAACACAATGATTCATCTGTTATATAAGGGTGGGATGAGAGATAAAGCATGGGAAATATTTCTCAGCATGAAAGAAATGAAAATTAAGGCTTCAATAGTGACTTATAACATATTGGTGAATGGACTAGGCAGAGAAGGGAGGATTAAAGAGGCATCAGAGTTGGTCGAAATGTTGGAAAATAACGGGTTGTTATCGCCGGATGCTGTCACATATAACAGCTTGGCAAATGCATGGTGCAAGAGGGGGAATGTAGGTTTGGCTTGCCAGATCGTGTCACAGATGACTAAAAAAGGGTGTTCTCCGGATTTAGTGACCTATAACACATTGATGAATGGATTAATTAATGCTGGAAAATACAGGGAAGCTAGAAATATTTTTGAGCAAATGGAGGGGGGTTTGGAAGCTGATTCTATTCCTCTTGAGTCTCTTGTTATGGATATAGGCAGTAGGTTACATGTATAATGCAGGGTATGATCAACATGCTTTGATTGTTTGTCTATATCAGTGTTTTTAACCTCGAAACATGCCCATGGATTTGGCCACTGCTGGGTTAGGATCGTCGAGTCTCAAGTCCTCCCACAGAGGCTAGCCCTTAAAAAAACTTTACTTTTTGAAGAATATTCACAGGATTTTTTATAAACTCGTACAGA